TGCTTTTGCCTCGGAGCATGTACCTCATAGCTGGTCTGAAGAAGTTAGTCACTACCTTTCTTTGTTTCTTTCCCTTGCACACAGTTCCACACTCACTAATGTAGGGAACCACTTCACTTGTCCCATATTTTGTCATGCCTTATCACAAAATGGATGAAATAAACATTTCACCTTAAGAATGAGATAATTTGTATATCCCCTTTGGAAAAGTGAGGGTGCAGAAATTGGTAAAGTGAAATAGAACAAGTGCTGGGGTTTAATGGACCGCCTGACCTACCTCAAGACACAGAAGGCCTTGATTGGTCCTCCCATGGCTCAATGCACCTATCTGGGGAAGGGTAGAGCATTTCCACAGCAGTGAAGATCACAGTGGCCTCCATGTGTAAATGGAAGAAGCTTAGAACCACCAGCTCACTCTTTGGAGCTAGCTCCACAGATGATCTGAGGGATCAGGTAGAAGGGCCTTAGTTAGCAAATATAAACAGATGGTTGCACTCAAAAAAACTCAAGCATTGCTCTTTGGAGAGAGAACGGTCCAGAAGGACTGGCTGTTTTGCAGCACCAATCATTTATACGGCAGAGAGGCCAGACAGAAGTCACTTCTTAGTAAAAGGCACGTGGCAGCCTGCCTGAAGTTTGCCAAAAGGAACCTGAGGGGACTCTGAGATCACGAGAAATTAAATTCTCCAGTCTGATGAAAGAAATATTAAACCCTTTTGCCTGAACGCCAAGCGTCATGTCTGCAGGAAACAAGGAACTGCTTATCACCTGACCAATAGGGTCCCTACAGTGAAGCCGGGTGGTGGCAGCATCATGCTGTGGGGATGGTTTTCAGCAGCAGGAACAGGGAGACTGGTCAGGGTGGAGGGAGCAATGTACAGAGACGTCCTTGATGACCTTTTCCAGAGCACTCTGTACCGACCTGAGACTGGGACGAAGGTTCATGTTCCCCCTGAGCACACAGCCAGGATAGCAGTGGCTCTCTGAATGTCCCGAGTGGCCCTGCCAGGAGCCAGACTTGAACCCGTGGGGGTTTTTGTTTTTAAGGTGAAAAGTGAATTGAATCCATTTTTGAAAAAGGCTTCAAGATAAAAATGTGAAACAAGTGAAGTGCTGTGAATGCTTTCTGGACGCACTGTGCATAACAAATATAGTTTGGCTGCACTCCACTTTCTGGTGAAAACACTCGTGCAGAATGCACAGAAATGATGAATGACTAACTTGGGGGCTATTTCTGGGGTCATGGGGGCACCAGTCACCATTCTGTGTTATTACTGGTTGTACTCTGGTGATTCAGGTGGCCTTGATGGGAGTGGGAGTGGCCTAACGACACTGCCTGTTGTTCTCTGGCCTTTGCTCGACTTGGTTAACTTCTAGTTTTTGTTGTGATGCACTTTACCATCTTTGAAGGTCGATTTTTGCTGGAGGTGGGGTGTTGAGGAGGATCACATGTTCACACGATGGGGCGGGGAAAGGCTATCACACGAATACAAGGTGATGGATGTCTCGACCTGTAGCTGGTGACGTTTCACCTACAGGAATGGGACAACCTGTCAATATTTACCCGAAGTCCAACCTCGAAAAGAAGGCCTGGCCAAAAAAACGTGATTTTAGACCCTAAGTCATATTTAGTTAGAATAATGCGATGCCGAATCAGTAAATCCTGTATCCATTTTTACATATAAATATATGTTTTGACAGAATCTCAGCTCAAAGCTCACAAAACTATTTCAACAAACTCCAAACAGTTAAAACAGCAAACGATTAAAACAGAGTCCAAATAAAGTGGTGAAGAAATCCAGATTCTAGGTTTTATCCTTTTCTCAGCAGAGAGAGTTTTATGGCTTCGTCCAGCAGTTGAAGCTGCGTCACGAGTTCATACATATTGAAGTCAGTTTGAACGGCTGTTAGCAGAGTTGGAAACAGATCTGAGGAGGAGGAGAAATCATTTCAGAGCCCAGTGAGCCAGACCAGTGTTTCAATGTGTCTGTGGTAAAAATGGTAACATTTTCCTCTTCCTGTATCGTTGTATATGCAGCTATGAGCAAGCTTGTTCCCAAATACAGCAATTTGGTTGGTCAGATCAGTTTATTCGGATCCAAAACATCTGAAGAGTCAAGCTTGGTTTGACAAAAAT